TTGTTTATTATTATTATTATTATTATTATTATTATTATTATTATTATTATGTGTAAGCAGGCTTTCTCCTCTGAATCCAATTCCCAGCTTTAAGCTAACATACTGGCATATGTGTAATTACAATCATTCCTTCCTTTCCTTTTCTCTCCCTTGTTCCTCTGTTCCCTCACCCACATCTAATTTAAATTGCAAGTTCCTTCAGAGTAGACACACATACTATCACCTTTTTGGTCTCCTTATAAACTGATAATGCAATAGACAAAAATGTTTGAAGCACATTTGTTTTTAACAGTTTGACTCAGCATGTTGTCATTGTGATGGCACTTAAAAGAACACAATTAAAAGGTGAATTTTAAAAAAGCATCCCCCTCTGTTATTTTCTTGGGTGCCGGCAATCTTCATTTCTGATTTCTCTCTAATTTTTTGGATTGAAAGCCCTCTTTCTCTTTCCCTCCTTCACCCTCTGGGTATCAGGCACTGGAATAACTCTGCCTCTCTGCTACAGCACCAGAAATGATGCTGTCGTAGCTGTTTTATTGGACAGGACAGCAAATCTGATCCGGATCTCTGTCATTAGAAATGGAAACATCAACCCAGGAGCAGCCATTCTACAGGAGAATTTAATAGCCAGCAGGCCACGGCAGAGGAAGGGGTGTTAGGGGGAAAGAACGCTCCACCCTGATGTGGCAGCTCATTCATTCTGACAACTAACACGAAGCCCCTGTGTGATCTGATGGAAACCTCAGCAAGCTACTGAGCTAAATACTCTCACAATGTTAGAACATGCTGATTGCTGAGGAAAGATCTATGGCTCGAGATGTGTATAGATATGGGGAGGAGATGAGGACATTGCCCTTCCAAATGAGAATTCTCCCCCCCTCCCCCGCATTCCCTGCATTGCAGAGAGTGAGATACCAAAAATCATTCACACCTGGAACTTTTATGTAGGATTGTTGTTGCTCTTGCTGTTCTTGTGTGCCTTCAACTCGTTTCTGACTTATGGTGACCCTAAGGGGTCCTGGGGTTTTCTTGGCAACTTTCTTCAGAGAGTGTTTGTCATTGCCATCTTCTGAGACTGAAAGAGTGTGATTTGCCCACGGTCACCCAGTGGGTTTACATGGCCAAGCTGCAATTCGAACCCTGGTCTACAGTGTCCAACACTCAAGCCACATCTGGTTGCATGACAAACAACACTTACTGAAATCCCTTCTCCTACACAAATATTGAGTGTGCAGGAGCACTCTGCTGTTTTCACTCTGGCAACTCTATATAAGAGACCTTGAATGTTGGACTAGGGCTGCATCTGCTCTGTAGAAATAATGCAGTTTGACACCACTCTGTCATGACTCCATCCTAAAGAGACCTAGGATTTGTAGTATGTTGTAACACCAGAGCTCTCTGACAGAGAAGTTTAAATATCTCATAAAACTGCATATTCCAGAATTCATAGTATTGAGCCATGGCCATGAAAGCAGTGTCAAACTGCATTATTTCTGCAGTGTGTTTTGGACCTAAATGACAAGAAAGGTGATTCCACATGAACGTTAGGATGAACTTTTCTAAAGTTAGATATGTTTGACAGTGGAATAGATTGCCTTTGAGGCAATTCACAGCCAACATGGGCAGTAGCCATGCTACCTGGATAATCCTGTGAGCAGTAGTCCAAATTTGGAGAGTTAATGTCCAAAATTATGGGGGCTTACTGTGTCCATAACCCTACAAGCCAGCACAGCATGGAACTGTTTAAGGTATTGAATGTATTTGAGATTTGGGGTAGGGTTTAACACTTTGGCTAACTTCTTTAAAGTTCAGGCTGAAATGTGGAGTGGATTCATGGCCCCCACTTATATTGGAGACATCAGCTGCCCCTACCACAGTAAAAGTTCCCATTGATGTCATTCTTTCTGCTCTGCGATCTCTCTGTTTGAATACCTATTGAGATGTACAAGCTTTGCAAAAGAGGGGATGGGAGCATCCACCCACCCCCATTGCTATCTGCATTCCAGAGGGCTATTAGGGGCTTATCCATCACCCCAAGGTTCCCAGCCACCGTGAGTCCCTCCACTACTGAGAGTCCCTCCCCCCCAGTTTATTGCTATCTCCTTCCCTGCAACAATACTGAATGTTGTCAAAGGGATCATATCACATCGCTCTGCCTGTCTGCTTAGGCTCAGCGGTTAAGTGAACTGTCTTGAAGCAGAAATATTATTTATGGGATAATGTAGTTTAGAAGGAAAGAGAAAGAGAGGGACACAGCCAGGCAAAAAAGAAATGGGAAGAAAGAGACAGAGGAGGAGGAGGAGGAGGAGAAGGGGCCAGGGGGAGAATGGCCTTGCATTGTGATAACTGTTGACAGCTTCCATTTATCTTGACATCACTCATGCATGTGGGGTTTAAGGGAGGGGTTTGCGGGGAAAGGCTAGGTGTGTGTCTCTGGCTGATGGGGGGTGCTTTTGTGGGAGAAGAAGAAAGGTATGTGGCCTCAAAGGGTGCAAAGAGTGGGGGAAAGAAAAGCACCTGACTCATACTTCTAGAATTCAGGGTCAACCAAAGAACAAGGTCAGACCTACCATTAGACAAGGATGTTGCCCTAATAGGTGTAGAGGGAGATCTTGTAGCACCTTTGAGACTAACTGAAAGAAAGAAATTGGCAGCACGAGTTTTCATAGAGTTCAGTATACTTCCTCAGATGCTTTTGGTAGAGTGAAAGCCAGGGACAGACAAATATATGCCCATGTTATGTGAAAATGTCAATTCAAATTCAAAATTCTTTGTGTATGCAAATGGAATAGCAAGTCCAGTTTTAATGATGGTCATTTGTGGACAAAGACATAGCCATTGGGTATGGAAATGAGGTGGTAAGACCAGTTTGGCCTTGGAAACCAGCCAGTAGGTGGGAGAATAGATGTGTGTAGGATGCCCCCATGAGGATGGGGTCAGATAGTGTTGAAATGTGTGTAGTGAACCAGGAAGCCATTGTCCCTGTTCAGTGCTGAGGCACTGCAGTTTATGGATGAATTCCAATTCTACTGTTTCTCTTTCCAATCTACCTTTGTAGTTCTTTTATTCAAGGTGGGGATGTTGGAGGTCCCCACCAGAAGTGAAGGTGTCTCCTAACAACTTGGGGAAATTATAGCTGAAAAAGAGGCCTGCAAGAGGAGGGTAACTGTGGGGATCTTCCACCTATGTATACCAGTACAAACTGTAGAGAGTACACTAGTTCAAGTAAATAATAATGTTTTATTTAGAAATTGCAGGGGTGCACACAAGCATACAAAGACCAAAGCAGCCTTACAAAGTATACAAGGCTATTTAAAAGGAAGGCATAGAGTGGTTGGATAGAGAGAAGTCAGGGTTTAAAATGGATGATAATTGCCAATCCTATGTACTACCTTTATGAAGGAATCCCCCTCTGTGGCACTCTTTGAAACCACATAGGGTACAAGCTGCCCCAACAAACTTTACTCTTCTCTATCACTGTTGGAAGCGAGACCTTTATGTCAAAATCATGCTTCAGGGGAACCTCTGGCTCAAGAATGAGGATTTGCTTGGAAGGGACAAGGCAAGAGGACAATTTAATGACCCGTGTTGCCAGACCTCATGAAAACCTCTGGCTTTCTTTGGTCTTGCTCCCATTGCTGTACCATGGCATGCTGCTTCATGTGCCTTAGCAAATGTTAAGGGGATGAGAAGATGTGTTACATCTTGACTTATCCACCCTCCTCCCTTGGGTTATTATGGTTTGCTTGGTTGTACTTTCTTGGTATCTGTGTTCTCTGCTCCACCCTATGCCGCCTGCCCATGCTTTGCAGGTGATCAGATCCCTTTTTCCATCTCCTCTCCCTCTTACCTTGTCTTCTTCTTTTTTAAAAAAAAAATATTCTCCCCTCTCCTCCAATTATCTTTTTCTTTCATCACCACTCGGAGCTGGAAGTACAAAGTACCAATTAGCTGGTTTTCAACTTTAATTAGCTTGGAAGGGAGAGCAAATTAAATCCTTTTATCATCTGTTTCAAAGCCTGTTCCCATCAAGGGCCCCTTTCCATGCCCTGAGAATTGCCAGCCTTTGAGGGAGAGCCATCCTCACACCCAGGGGTCAGCCCCCAGCCTCTATCTCTGCCCAGCCACCATAGCAGTCTCACCAGCTAGTACCAGGAAGGGCAGGGGTCTGACTAGTACCTACCCCCTATTTTCCCCTTCCTTTGAATCCCCTCTGGCCAACCTTACTGTTGCTCCTAGGAATAAAAGGAAGTTTGTTTTCTCAGAGTGTCTGCAAGAAGGAAAATATTGTGTAAAATTGTGAGGAGGGAAGAGGAGGACAGGAGGACAGAGAGTTCTTCTGTGAATGCAGGGTTTTTAGTTGTGCTGTACTGCAGTTGTGCAATATAGCTTCAGGGTTTAGTGTAGGCAGGAATGTAGCTACAGGAGAGGGGCAAAAAGAGGGCATTGCCTCTCCCAGTAAAAATCCCATACCCTCCAACATTTCATAGAGGGAAAACAGGATATATTTTGCCAAGTAACATGTGAGTGGGGTCACAGTGGCCAAAGTTATTAATGAGGAAGTATACACATGGTGCAGCCTTTTGCTTTTGCTGGAACCCACTAGGAAGTGCAAGATTCCTCCCCCTCCTTTCCTTATTCCCCTGCTGCATTTGGAGCCATTGAAGTAAACTGACAAGGGCGAAGAGAGAGAAATTGGAACATTTTAAAAGCAGCTGGAAAAGTGGAATAGAGGATTAATCATGGCTGTCTTTGCCAAAATGGGACAGTTGAATGGTATGGAATTTTGTCTCTTTAAATGTTCAACAGTTATGAACATGTAACCTACAACTTTGTGATTGTTGTTGTGTGGCTTCAAGTCCTTTCCAACTTATGTTGATCCTAAGGAGAACCTTTCATGGTGTTTTCTTGCCAAGATTTGTTCAATGGAGATTTACCAACCATTGTCTTCCCCTGGGGTTGAGAGCATGTGACACCCAATGTCACCCAGTGGGTTTCCATGGACAAGCAGGGATTTGAACCCTGGTCTCCCAGAGTCATAGTCCAATGTTCAAACCACTACACCATGTGTTGTTGTTTTTGTCATGTGACATAAAATCATTTCTGATCTATAGTGACCCTAAGGCAACCTTATCAATGGGTTTTCTTGGCTTTATTTGTTTGGAGTGGGTTACCCTTGCATTCTCTGAGGCTGAAAGGGTGTGACTTGCCCAAGGTGCAATGAGGTTCCATGGCCAAGTGAGAATTTGAACTCTGATCTTCCATGGAGTGTACCTGAATAAGGTATTTCCCCAACCAAGCTTCCAGCAGTTCCATCTTAGGACAAAGTGTTGTCTTGTGAGAGAGGTCCAGAAGGTCTCATTTATCACTAAGAAGACAGCTTTAAAAAAAGAAAAGGAAAGGAAAGACGGGAGTGTATATCAGGGCCAGGAGAATAAAACAACTCTGCAAAGACAAGCCAACACTGCACAGATGTCAGCCTGGCAAGATGAAGATGTAAAGCTGGTGGGATTGCCATAGAAGGCTTGAAGCTGTAGGATATAAGTTGAATGGCATGAGAAAAGAAAGAGAATGCATAGGTTAAGGGCATGCATGAGGTATATACAACAGTATAAGCTGACCATATTACCAAAAAGACATTGACCGAGATCCTGTATCAGGAGATATATGTGTATCACATAGCTACAACTCCATAGCTGTATCTCCCTATGCTAATCCCCAAAATCCCACCCTGTACATTGGGCATCTCTCCCAACACATCCATTTTGGTGTTATCATAGAGTGTGTGGTGGGATCAACATGATGTGTCAAGAAATTTTCATTTAGATGGATGCACACTGAGTACCAGGTGCTGTGGGCTCTGGAAGGAACTAGCAAAACCAACTCTGAGTTTTCCTTGCCGAAAAAAACTGTATGAAATTCATGGGGTCACTGTAAGTCAATGGGCCACCACCACCAAAGAGAGGAAGGGAGGGAGGGAGAGAGAAATCTTTTGGATGATGATGATGGTTATGTAAAGAAAATAGTGTTAAAGTAAAATTTGAGGACATGTGGCCTTCCAGATGTTGCTAGACTGAATTTCCATCAAGCCTAGGCAGCATAGCTAACTGTAAATAGAAATGGCAGTCCACCAACTTCTGGAGTGCTACCCTAAAGGCACCAAATCTCATCTGATCTTGGAAGCAAAGCAGGGTCAGCTTTGGTTAGCACTTGGTTAGACCACCAACAAATAGCAGGTATTGAAGACTCTATTCCAGAGGAAGGAACTGGCAAAGCCACCTCTTGAGTATTCCTTGTCCAAAAAAAACCCTAGGAAATTCATGGGGTCACCATGAGTTGACAGGAGACTTGAAGGCACAGGAACACACAAGTACATTCAAAATTCAATCATATTGACTTTTAATTAATTCCACATGTTAGGGATATAATCTAAAAGAACACATGTCTGCAAATATCAGAGATATTTATTTATTGTCCTTTTTTCCTGTCTTCTTTCTGCCTTTTTTGTTTGTTTGTAATTATACCTTTCAAAATCCAATAAAAATATTTTTTTCAAAAATGTTTGCATACTAGAGGTTGTTGCTGTTGTTGATGTCACAGGCCCTACTGGGACAAGAGATGATAACTAAATGCCTAAAATAAAATAAAATAAAATAAAATGATGGTTACTAATTTGCATCCCACCTCTTTCCCAACCATGGGAATCAGAGATAAAAGCTCACAAGAGTGAAAATTCACAGCAGTTAAAATAGAATTAAGGCATCCATAGAATTAAAAGCCATTTGAAACAAACAAACAAACCCATATCCATTAGAAAGTAAGAAATACAGCCAGGAAAGAACATTGTTTAAAGACCTTTCATCATAATGTCTCTTCGGGTGAACAGATATGTTACCTGAGCAGCATAATAGTGGGTGGCAACATAGCTTGGAAAAGTAACAATTTTTTTATGGTAACTCCCAGTATCCCCCAGCTAGTGTTACAGATTTTAGTTCAGTCTGGGAAGGAGCTATCCAAGGTACTGAAAGCTATCTTTCCAAATCTACCCAGGTTCAGAAGCTCCCCACCACCACCACCCTTATCCATATTTGTACCTTGGATAGTTCTTTGAAAATTGAGACTAACACTCTTAGTAGTTACTGAATATTCTACTGAATACAATTATTGTTTAATGATCAGAAGACTATTAAGCCACAACTGATTGCTGGAAGTGGAGTCAGTAATTCCCTACAGCAAAGAGGTAGAGTGAAGCTGCACTGCTTATAAGGGTGAAATTAAAACTCTTTTCTCCCATCACTACCATTCATCCTCTATCCCTGTCTTATTCCGGGGTCTCTCCTAGGTGAGACATTGCTATGTGACATGTGGAAAAAGCAAGGTGTAGGGGTGAATAATGAAAGTATCATTTGCTTGCTTCTCCTCCTCTGTCAATCTTCCCTGCAAATCCTCTGCACCTCCACTACCAGCATTTTGCAGGAATGAAAGGGCACCCAACCTTCCCAAGTTGAGATCATGCATCAAGGCTGCATAGCATGGAAATCTCGACATGCAAAGTGACATGTTGATTATGCTACGCCAACTTTGTAGTGAATGGCAAGAGTATTGCATGTGCAATCAAAGGAGTACTATCACCAATTTCAGGAGGAGCAGATGGAGACACATTGGTTTAGAATGCCAATTTATTTATTTGTTTGTTTGCTTGCTTTCTTTATGTCCTGCTGTTTTCCAACATGGGATCCAAAGCATGTAAAATAGTTTTCAAAGAAGTAGTGGTGTTAGTCTCTTGCAGCATAAAAAGGAGGAAAGGACAAAAGAATAAAACAAAAAGAGTGTGATTGAACCTTTAAGACTAACTGGTTTTTATTTTAGCATAAGCTTTGGGGCATATAAACCTACTTTTTCAGATGCAGTATAATTGAACTCTACTATACTGCTTCTGAAGAAGTGGGGGATTTACACATGTGTAAGGCACCAACAGGATTCTGGCCACTATCTGCAAGACCATGGCTGTGACCACACTGCAGACTTAATGCAGTTTGACACCACTTCAACTGCCATGGCTCAGTGCTATAAAATCCTGGACTTTGTAGATTGCTTTGGCACCAGAGCTCTCTGACAAAGAAGGCTAAATGTCTCACAAAACTACAAATCCCAGAATTCCATAGCATTGAGCCATGGCAGGTAAAGTGGTGTCAAACTGCATTAGTTCTGCAGTATAGATACAACTTTATTTCCCTATACGAGTGTGCCTCAATTTTACCATCTTCCTCTCAGTTCTACCACCTTCACTGATATGTTTGGTAAAGAAAAAGGTGAGAGCCTTTGCAGTGGCTGTTCCCAAGCAAAGCTCCATGATGATGATGATGATGATGATGATGGGCCTTTGACTTTTAAAGTGGATTATAACTTATATTCAAGTGATTTGAATATAACTTAAATCACTAGAAGCTTATAACTTCTAATGATTTTTAAAAACATACAAAAGCATGCATAGAAAGCTTTAATATCAGTTATTTCAAAACAATTAAATAACCTGTGAAGTGAAAACCATTGAAATTCATTAAAAGATGATCTAAAAACTGACAGAACGGCACAGTACACTATTAAAAATCCATAACCGTCAACACCGCTATTCAACGCAGGGTTTATGCAATACAAAGAATCACTCGACATGTGGAAATTTACAGACCGGATCTTGGCTGGTAGGTAATTTACATTTTTTTGGAGCAGACTGAAACAAAAGAGACGTGATTATTAGAATTCTCTCTGCACAGGGTCAACCAGAGGCTTCTCCATGAGTCTTGCAGCTCTTTCTTGAAACATCTCCCTCTTTCCTATTACAGAGAAACCATTGCCTCAGGGAGGGGCAGGGGGCATTTTTGGAATCTTGGGTGTCGTGATCGCTGCCGTACTTATTGTGGGTGTAGCCGCTACGGTCTTTGTCGTGTACAGGCGACAGCAAAAGAGCCGCACGGAAGCTGACAATGACCTGTGAGTACCATGTGCCCTGTCACAACCTCTCTCCAAAGCTGGGGAATGGTCACCTATTAAGATTCTATGGAGGGAGAATCTTAGGGCCTTTGTAGACTGCTAGAAATAGTGCAAATTGAGTCCACTTTAACTGCTCTGGCTCGGTGCTAGGGAATCATGGGCATTGCATTTTTTTTCTGAGACATTGAGCCTTCTCTGTCAGAGAGCTCTGGTGCCACAATAAAATACAGTTCCCATGATTCCCTAGCATTGAGTCAGGACAGTTAAAGTGGACTCAATTTGCACTATTTCTGGCATTCTGCAAAGGCCCTTAGTAGTAACAGTACAAGGTATTACTGGGTAGGGCTTCCTTTTGAGTGAGTAGCAATGCAAAGAATACTTGTAATCTTTCTCATCCCCAATGAGAACATAATAATAATAATAATAATAATAATAATAATAATAATAATAATAATAAATTTATTTGTACCCTGCCCCTCTGTGAACAATTGGGGCAGCTAACAACAATTAAAATTACAACAACAATTAAAATTACTGTCTTAACACAACAAGATCACCCCCACTACCACTTACATCAACAAAATGGTCAATAACAGCAAGGCATTTTATTTTATTTTATTTTATTTTATTTTATTTTATTTTATTTTTGCATTTCAGGACTTTGGAAAAAAAATCTTTGTACAAAAATCTTTCTGCCAAAGTTTGCTTTCTGTGCACTAATTGCACTAATTTGTGTACTCATTTTGTAGACAGACACTGCCCTCTGCACAAAAATGTCATTCTTTTCATGCAAAAAATACCAACTTTATTCCAAATAAATTCCTGAAGTGTTTAAAAAAATGACAAAATGTACAAAAACTCTTGCACTCTCACCTGGGAGGGAGAAAAGGTTTATTAAAATTATTCATTGTTGCAAGCACAAATGGAAGAAGCAGAGATTTGCATCCCTTTTAGAAACCTTGTGTATTAGGCATATTATGCAGGAAGGAGCTGTCCATGGTGCTGTTCTCAAGAGAAGAACAGCCCAATGTCCTCACCAATACTTTCCTCATCAGTGGGAGAAGGATCAAACAGCCAGTGCA